TGTTGTCTGTGCCTGCAAGACCTGTCTTGGACTGTGTTCCTGTCATCCAAATAAACCTTCTGCTTTACTGGCTGGCTGAGAGTCATGGTGAATCGCAGGAAGCCGGGGGTGCAGGGCCCTGAGTTCCCCAATACTCCGTGACACCTGGGTGGAGCAGGGCTTGGGAAAGGCTGAGGAGCTGGGGAGCTCTAGCCTGGATAGCCCCAGGCTGCGGCCTAGCAGAAGGCCAAAGGGTACTGGGGGTTGCAGAGGGCAGCCCAGGGTTAGGCCAAGGCAGCAGGTCCAAACCCAACCTTACCTGTGATGAGTGCAGTCTGCCCCAGGGAGCGGGGGCTAGTTGGTGACTGGCAGTGGCCAGTCTGAGGCAAGGTGGGGATAGTGGGTGGGGGTTCCCCAGGGAGGGGAGACCCTAGTACTGAGGGGTGTACTGCCACGGGGCAGTACCCCAGATAAAAGGGCACTGGGGTCCAGGAGGGACACGGGGGCCAGAGGACAGGCGGATCACCGGCCTGCAGAGGGTCCTCCGGAGGTTGGAAGTCACCAGCAGGAGGCGCCGCAGGGGTGAGTCCGCTCCTCTACAGGGAGACTGGAAGAGGGGGAGTCCAGGGCTTCTGGACTGGGATTTCCCCAAGATGGACTTGGCTGAAAGTCACAGATTTCTGTGCTAACAAGCTCTGCCCTACGCTGTGTTCCTGTCGACTGATAAACCTTCTGTTTTACTGGCTGGCTGAGAGTCACGTCTGACTGCGGAGTTGGGGGGCAGGGTCCTCTGGCTTCCCCAGGAGCCTCACCTGTGCGGACTCGCTGTGGGAAGCGCAGGTGAGGAAGGGGAGGCTGGATGCTCCGAGGTCAGACCCAGGAAGGTGGAAGCCGTGGGAGCTTCTTGCCCTGGAGTCCATTGATAACTGGGGATTCGTATATAATCAATGTAATTAATACATAATCTAATGATCAGGCAACAGAGGGGATCCCGGCAATTCCAGGCCGGTCAGCCTAATTTCAGTACCGGGCAAGCTGGTTGAAACTCTTGTAAAGAACCGAATGATCAGATGCAGAGATGAACACGATTAGTTGGGGAAGAGTCAACATGGTATTTGTAAAGGGAAATCGCGCCTCGCCAATCTACTAGAATTCTTTGAGGGGGTCGACAAGCATGTGGACAAGGGGGATCCAGTGTACTTAGATTTTCAGAAAGCCTTCGACAAGGTCCCTCGCCAAAGGCTCTTACGCAAAGTAAGCTGCCACAGTGTCACGGACTCGCCCCCCCTCTGCATGCAAACCATTGGAAAACAAGGAAAAAACAAGAAAATCACCCACTTGGTCACACACGGGATAAGGGGGAAGGTTTTCTCATGGATCGGTAACCGGTTAAAAGACAGGAAACGAAGGGTAGAAATAAATGGACGGGTTTCAGAGCGGAGAGAGGTAACTAGTGGTGTCTGTACTGGGCCTGCTCCTATAGAACAGATTCATAAACGATCTGGAAAAAGGGGTAACCAGTGACGTGGCAACATTGGCAGATGATGCAAAACTACGCAAGATGGTTAAGTCCAAAGCTGACTGCGAAGAGCTACAAAAGGATCTCTCAAACCTGGGTAACAAAAGAGCAGATGATATCCCAGCTCCCCCTGTTGTAACCACCAGCCCCCACTCCCCTCCCAGAGCCGGGAAAGAGAACCCAGGAGTCCTGGCTCCCAGCCCCCACTCCCCTCCCAGAGCTGGGACAGAACCCAGGAGTCCTGGCTCCCAGCCCCACCTGCTCTAACCCCGGGCAGGGGGAACAAAGCAGAAGCCCTAGGGCTTTGGCCCCGGGCGGTGGGGCTCAGGCCTCAGCCCCAGGGTCCCAGCAACTCTCAGCCAGCTCCGGCGGCCCCATTCAAATGGGGGTCCCAACCCACCCTTTGAGAACCGCTGCCTTACAGCAAAGTGGGAGGGGGAAGGAGCCGGTGGCCTGCCTGGCGGTGGGGGAGGGAATTCTTGAGGACACAAAGTGGACTTTGCCCCCCCCACTTGCCGTGTGATCTGAGTCCCCCCCTCCCCCCTCGGACACGACCTGCAGCCCCCAGCCCCCAGCCTGTCCCGGGACTCCCAGAGCTCAGCACAGACCCAGAGGTAGCTGGGAGCCAGGACTCCTGGGTTCTCTCCCAGCTCTGGGAGGGGAGTGGGGGCGGGTGGGTTAGAGCGGGGGGGCTGGGAGCCAGGACTCCAGGGGTTCTCTCCCAGCTCTGGGAGGGGAGTGGGGGCGGGTGGGTTAGAGCGGGGGGGCTGGGAGCCAGGACTCCTGGGTTCTGTCCCAGCTCGGGGAGGGGAGTGGGGGCTAGTGGTTAGAGCAGGGGGGCTGGGAGCCAGGACTCCAGGAATGGGGTGTGGTGGTGAAAGCAGGGGGGCGCTGGGAGCTAGGACTCCTGGGTTCTAACCTGGCAAGGAGAAGGGGGTGTAGCGGAGCAGGATAGGAGGCTGGAAGCCAGGAATCCTGCATTGTGTCATCAGCTGTGCTAGTGAGTTGCTGTCAGGAGCCTTTGTCTCCCCGTGCCTCAGTTTCCCCAGCTGCGTCTCAGGAATCGAGGACTAGATCTCCAGAGAACCTGCAGCATAAAAGTTCATGGACTGACCCTTGTCTCTTTCCCTTCAGCTAGTTTGTTTTTCCACCCCCGACTTCTGATTTCCCATCCCCAGGGAACAGCAACGGGGGACCCCATGGCAGACCCCACGTGCCGCGAGCCCCCCGATGGGGGCTGGGGCTGGATGGTGGTGCTGGCCGGCTTCCTCCAGTCAGCACTGGTTTTCGGGGTGATCCGCTCCTTCGGCGTCTTCTTCATGGAGTTTGTGGGGTACTTCGGAGAGCTTGCGGGACGTGTCTCCTGGGTCACTTCCATCGGGATCGCGGTGCTGCAGCTAGGGGGTGAGTGAGGGACACCGGGGGGTGGGGAAGGGGGCTACTAGAATCTCAGGCCCAGAAGTGGAGTAGCTGGGAAACCCCTTCCCCCACCCACCGCTCCCCAAAGCGCCCCCTGCTGGGGGAGGCCTCAAGCCCCCCCCCAAGCCCACTTCTCCCCCAGACTCGGCTGCCCCCCAGGGTAATGGGGCCCAACCGGTGTCTCTCTGCCGCCCCCTGCAGGTCCGGTGAGCAGCGCCCTCAGCACCCAGTACGGCGCCCGCCCCGTGGTGATGGCCGGGGGCCTCCTCTCGGGGCTGGGCATGCTCCTGGCTTCCTTCGCCACCAGCCTGACCCACCTGTACCTGAGCATCGGGCTGCTCTCAGGTAGGTCCTGCCCTGAGCCCCTCCCCTGCCTCAGTGCCCTCTGGGAGTATCCTCGCTCAAGGTTGGGAGCAAGGGCTTCTGGGTAACCCAGTGCACCATGGTCTAGTTATAGTTGCCCAGAGGGGTTCTGGGGGGGGGGTGTCTCTTTTCGGGTTCTCCAGCCATTCCTCCTCCCAGATGGGTCCTAGACATTAAGACCAGGAGGTGACCATCCAATCTGGCCTCCTGCGCCATCCCTCCTGCCTACTCCTCCTTCCAGCCCATATCTGATGGTTGAGCTAGACCATGGCACGCTAAGCCGTGGAAAATCCCCCACACACCCACAGCTCCCAGGGCTATGGTTCTTGAGCCGTGTGGTGCTCATGGCCCAGACTCTGCTGCCCCTTCTGAGATCTAGAACCCTCTGCTCTGGCTCATCCAGAGTTGCTCTAGCCCAGATCTCCATGCTCACGAGTGTGGCCTAGATCATCGCTAGCCCAATTTCCTGCCTAGCTCAGATCAGTCCATTTCACCCAGTTCCTTCCCAGCCCCAGCTCGGGCGAGCTGGAGAGAGGACAGAGCAATGATCTAGAACCCAGCATTGTGGCAGCTGACACCTAGATCCCCCCACTCGCAGGCCTGACCAGGAGTTCTCCCCCCATCCCAGACCCTGCCATCCCAGGCTTGAGATGATGTGTCTCTAATTGCTAATGACCCTCCCACCCCCACCCCAGGGGTTAAAGGGCTAGACCCCCCTAGACATTGACTCTTTCTCCCCAGTCATGTCCCGCAGCCAACCTAGAACATACAATGCCTTGGGTTACCTAGAACATGTGACATGTGTCACCTAGACCCTAGAGTATCTAATTGTTTAGACATCCTAGAACATACAATGCTTTGCATTATCTAGAATGCTCCATTCATCCCGGTTTCCCACCTGCCCCACCCCCAGATTAGACCCACCCTTCCTGGTTTTGGTCACCTGTTCCCTTTCCTTCCCCCTCCCCCCCCTGCAGGGCTGGGCTGGGCCTTGGTTTTCACCCCTTCCGTGGCTTCTGTGGCCCAGTACTTCGCCAAGCGGCGGACCTTCGCCACGGGCCTGGCTGTCTCGGGGGCGGGCCTGGCCTCCTTCGCCTTCTCCCCACTCTTCCAGCTGCTGGTGGACACCTACGCCTGGCGGGGAGCCCTCCTGGTGGTGGCCAGCATCTCCTTCAACCTGGTGGCCGCCGGGGCTCTGCTGCGGCCGTTGGAGACAGAGGGTAACAAGGCGTCCGCGCCGGAGGCGGGGTGGCTGTGGCTGCCAGCCTTCTCCTCCCTCTGCCAGCCACGCCTGGCCTGCCACAGGCCCTTCCTCCTGTTCGCTGCGGCCTTCGTCCTGGTGGACACCGGCTACTACGTACCCTACGTCCACCTGGTGCCCCACGCCCGGGAGCTGGGCTTTGACGAATACCGAGCCGCCTTCCTCCTGTCCTCGGCCGCTGTGGCTGACCTGTGCGGCCGCGTGGCGGGTGGCTGGCTGGCCGACCGCTTCGCCGTCCGCCTGGTCCACAGCCTGATCCTCTGGACCGTCCTGACGGGCCTCTCCATGGTGCTGCTGCCGCTGGGGCAGAGCTACTCCCTCCTGATGGGCCTCTGCATCTGCTACGGCTTCTGCGCCGGTGCCCTGGTGCCCCTCCAGTTTTCCGGCATGGCGGAGATTGTGGGAACGGGGCGCATCATGGAGGGGATTGGGCTCATGCAAATGATGGAAAGTGCTGGCTCCCTCGTGGGGGCCCCTCTGTCTGGTAAGGAACCAGGTTCTCTTTCCTACCATGCTCCCCTGTCCCTTTTGGATCCCATATTTGGGACGGTTGCTACTAGGAGAAATTGAGGAAGGAGTCAGATAAAGGTCTTTCCTGACAAGTGGTCCCAGGCAGCCCACTGTCCTTTGCCTGGTCTCTGCCACATCCCCAGGGGCTGGTAGGGGAACCCGGGCCTGCCCTCTACTCCAAGTTCCAGCTCACAGGCTCTCCAGTCACTGCCCTATGTCCTGGCTTCCCCCTCTCCCCCGTCTCTGGGTTCGCCAGCCTCCCAATTCCCTCCTCCCAGGGAGTAACTATGGACTACCCTCTAGAGTCCCTACTTGGCCACTGTCACCCTGTCCAGTCTTGTGGGGGGTGGACATACCCTCTCATGAGTTCTAAGCCTTTCTTGCATGAATTCATCGATCTAGCTTCATAGAGAGGGCTGTGGGAAGGGAGGGAAACAAGAAGGTAGGTGACCCATTAATTACAGGTAACCCCCGGAATTAAACCTTCCCCCAAAACAAGGTCCTGGCCTGTGACTTGGAAGACCTGGGTTCTAGTTGAACAACATGTTCTAGGTCTCCCCAAACCTCCCATTGTCTAAATAGCCCTAGGAATATGGTTGAAAGGGGGTACCAATCCGGGGAGCTAGGCTGAGACATACTGGGTTCTAGGTAGCTCTAACAACTCTGAAAAGCCCTAATCATATGATCTAAAGATGACTCCAAACCAGAGAACTAAATTGTGGCATTCTGGGTTCTAAGTATGGGTTCTAGGTAGCCAATAAAACTGTGTGGGCCTATCTAGCCTGAAATCATGTAGGCTAATGCCTGATGTAGGCCAGATAGCTAGAACATTATTAGTGATTGTTTTGATTACTGTAGACATAGGAGCCCTTGTCATGGACTGGAACTCGATTGTGCTAGGTGCAGTATAGAATCCAAAGATGGTCCCTCCCCCAAAGCCCTTACCATCTAACTATAAGACAAGAGACAACAGCAGGATATATACAGAATATGGTGCTCTGAAGTCTAAGTATCACTGAAAATGTGTTTGAGATAATCCATGACTGTGGTCTGCATAGTCCCGTGAGACTGTCAAGCAGATATGTTCTAGGCTGTCCAAACCATCAGGTTTGGGGGTTCTAGGTAGCCCTTCCAGTACTTTCTAGGTAAACCATCACTTCATACCTTCTAGTCCGTCTAGACAGCAAGGTGTTCTGTGATTTAGGTGACACTACAGTAATTCCTAGATAATTTGTGCAGGATGTCTAGGCAATGAGGCATTTGGGGTTCTAGGAAATGCATATTGTGCGCTCTAGATAACTCAAAGCCACATATATTCTGGGATGTCTAGAGAATTAGATATTATGGGTTCCAGGTAACATGTAGTGCATTCTAGATCATGCAAATAATTGTATGTTCTAGGATGTCTAAATAATTAGATACTTTGGGTTCTAGGTGACACATGCAGTATGCTCTTGGTAACCCAACGCATTGTATGTTCTAGGTTGGCTGCGGGACATGACTGGGGACTACACGGCCTCTTTCATTGTAGCTGGGGCTTTTCTCCTCGCTGGAAGTTTGCTCCTTCTTGCCCTGCCAAACTATTTCTCCTGCCCCATGGACTCGACAACTGAGGAGGAGACCATGGGGGACCCCTGAGACTTTAGCTCCTGGGGGGGGTTGTCCCAGAGAGCCAGATTGGAAGTGAGAGGTCAGCAGGGGGCAGAGCATCAAGTATACGGATCCAGCTGATAGGTGTCTGCTTCTTCGCTGGCCATCATAAGACGGTTGGAGGATGCATAAGAGACGGAAGGAGGGAGCTACCCAGTCTAGATCCACTCCTCTTTGCAAGCTGGTGTCCAGAGCATCCTAGATCTTTCAGGCTAGAAAGGACCCCGATGGTCCCCTAGTCTGACCTTCTGCACAGCCCAGAGAACTCCAGCCCATATCTGGTGGTCGAGCTAGTGGGTAGCTTCCGGTCTTGACTTAAAAGGACACGCGTGACGGAGAAGACGCCACCACTGTAGGGGAAATTGGCCCCACTGGTTAATTGCCCTCCCCATGAAAAATTTGCACTTGATTGGCCCACTAGTGAAGGTCGTCTCCTCCCCTTGACCGCGTTTCTCTGTCTGTCTGCGTGTAACATGATTGTGACCGGACGCCCCGGCCGATCGGTTCCAAACTTTCAGGGCACATTTGAGGCATGAGTAGCTAGAACCCTGTTGATTTAGGGGGAGATTGGAAAACAAAGAAAATGGGGAAGAGGGATGCACGGCGACCCGACCAGCTCTGTAGTGCAGACCCCCACAGCTCTGGGAGGGTCTCTAGCTCAAACAACCGGTTGTTGATGGCAGAAATGTAATGCCTTGACTAGCTCAGATGCCTTCCCCTGGAACTGCATACCCAGAATGGCTGATCCCCCAGGCCATTGGGATTGGGTGGTTCCAACCCCCACCCCCACCCCGGCCCGCAAGTTGTGCTTTAGCTCTTTTCTGAGGGGCTTTCATGACACGTGCCCCCCAGAACTGGCCGCAGCCTTCCAGTGAGGCCAGACAGATGGGGTAGACAGCTCTGTGTCAGCCCAGCTCCAGAGATATTCATACAAGGATCCCTCACCCAGCGCTGAGATACAGCCACCTCTGGGGCGGGGCGGCTGGTTACACGGGGACCCCTCACCCGGCGCTGAGATGCGGCCACCTCTGGGGCGGGGCGGCTGGTTACACAGGGACCCCTCGCCCAGTGCTGCCTCGCCCCAGAGGTGGCTGCATTTCAGCACTGGGCAAGGGGGTGGGGGGAAGGGTGGGGCTGCCATTAGACGCCTCCTCTCAGCTGCGGACTTTGCCTCACAATTCACTGATAAGAATGCCCAACCTTTGAGACCCGGGTTCCCGTCTGATGCCAGGCACCCTGCTGCTGCTTGCTGGGTCCCCGGAGCTGGGAGAGGGTCGAGGGGGCAGCTGTGCGCCCCCCCCCCAAGATTAACAGCCGCAGGGTCATTCTGCAGGGCGCTCGGTCACCCAGCACTGGGATGCAGCCACCTCTCGCATAGGGCATGGCTGCTGATTCATGGCTCCACCCCCCTGCTGCGCTGCCTGGGAATCGTTCATCGCGGATTCAGCGGCCGTCACCTCTGGAGTGGAGCACATTAACCAGCCACATGGCCAGGCTGCACAGAGATCGCTCACCCAGCATCAAGGGGCTACCCCCTCTGGGAAGGAGTGAGGCAGCTGATTATGCCAGACTCACCTCCGGCGTGCTGCACTGAATCTTCTTAGAGCCCCCCATCCTCCTGGAGCCCCCCGACGGGGGCTGGGGCTGGCTGGTGGCACTGGCAGTCTTCCTGGAGTCGGGGCTGATTTTTGGGGTGATCCGCTCCTTTGGGGTCTTCTTCGTGGAGTTTGTGGGGCACTTCGGGGAGCTGGTGGGGCGCATGTCCTGGGTCACATCTATCACAGTAGCCATTCTGCTGTTTGCTAGTGAGTATTGACTCTCTGGCCTTCTCCCTACCCCCTTTAGCCAGAGCGTCTCATCCCTCCCCCGGTGGGGTGGCTGGTTATTGAGGGACCCCTCACCCGGTGCTGAGATGCGGCCACCTCTGGGGCGGGGCAGCAGTTTTTAACTGGGATTCTCCCAACCCCACTTTCTGCACCATCGTCCAGGACAGGAGGGTGCTCTGAGTGCCACATACCTCCACTCCTCCCCCAGACTCAGCTGCATTGCAGGGTAACGGGGCCCGACCAGTATCCCTCTGCTGCCCTCTGCAGGTTTGGTGGGCACTGCCCTCAGCACCCAGTACTGTGCGCGCCCCGTGGTGATGGCCGGGAGCCTCCTCTCGGGGCTGGGCATGTTCCTGGCTTCCTTCGCCACCAGCCTGACCCACCTGTACCTGAGCATCGGGCTGCTCTCAGGTAGGTCCTGCCCTGAGCCCCTCCCCTGCCCCAGTGCCCTCTGGGAGTATCCTCACTCAAGGCTAGGAGCAAAGGTTTCTGGGTAACCCAGTGCACCATGGGAGTCTAGCCCATTGCACAGGCCTCTTCCTGGAAGCAAGGCATTCTGGGTAAAACCTGGACAGAAGGATGCTCTGGGCTCAGGTGGTGAGGATTCACTGGCCCTTGGCTGTAGCTTAGAATCTTCTATAATGAAGGATCCGGAGAACCAGGTTCTAGAACAGCAAATTCGGTTCTAGATCAGCCAACCCTGGTCCCAATCCCAATGTAATGAGGATCTAGAGCTTTAAGGCTCCAGCCGTTGCTATAACAAAGGGCTGACCCCACCCGTCGAGCTGTGAAATCGCTGCTCCACTCCCTCCTCCCCAGTAGCCTCTGGTGTTTGGATAACGCAGGGGAGGACATGGGGTTTTTGGTGTGCAGGCAATGTGGGGGGAAGGGGGGCTGTGTATTTTAGGTCAAAACTGACATTTGTCGAAGTTTGCGGTGCATCAAAAAGTCTGAACCAATCTCAGCTTAGCATGTTCTGATTTCGAGCACGTTTGGAAAGAGAGTTGAAGGAAATTTGGACCTGACACAATGAGAATGTTCGAACTTTTGGGGAAGTTTTTCATACCCCCCCCCCCACACACACACACACCGCGATGTATGTAGCACAAACAGCATTCACAATGGGTTATAGGTTGGCTTAACATGGGCAATTCCAGATGCATGATAGCTGTATAAGCTGTAGTCTACTCCAATTCAATAGGTTCTAGGTAGCACAGTGTGCTCCAGATGCATCCTAGCCCTCTAAGCTGTAGTCTACTCCAGCTCCAGATGTTCTAGGTAGCACAAACAGGATTCACGGTGGGTTCTAGGTTGGCATAGCATGGTACGTTCTACATGCGTCCCAGGCCTGTAGTCTACTCCAGCTCAATAAGTTATAGGTAACACAAACAGGATTCATGATAGGTTCTAAATTGGCTCAACATGGGCCATTCCAGATGCGTGAGAGCTGTACAAGCTGTAGTTGACTCCAATTCCATATGTTCTAGGTAGGACAGACAGGATTCATGCCTAGTTCTAGGTTTGTCTTAACACAGAGTGTTTTAGATCGTGGTGGGCATGAACTTCCACCTCGTGGCATGTGGCGCCCTCCTCCGCCCGCTGGCCCTGGCAGAGGACTTGGCTCCGGCGCAAGCTCCACAGAGGTCATAGCTGGCGAAGATGTCTTCTCTGTTGGGCTTGGCTTTGCTCTCCAGTCGGCCTTTCCTGAGCTTTGCCGTGGCCGGCCTGTTGATGAATTTGGGCCATCTTGTCCCCTTTGCCCACCTAGTGTCCCATGCCCGTGAGATGGGCTTTGACGAATACCAGGCTGCCTGCCTCATGTCCGTGATGGGTGCCACCGATCTGTGTGGCCACCTGGTGGCTGGCTGGCTGGATGCCCGCAGGGTCTTCCGCCTCCTTCACAGCCTGACTCTCTGGACCCTCCTGACGGGCGTCATGCTGCTCCTGGTTCCCTTTGGGCACACCTACCCCATCCTGATGGGCATTGACATCTGCTATGGGTTCTTAGCCGGTGCCGTTATTCCACTGAAATTCTCCAGCCTGGTGGAAATCGTGGGGACTGGTTGGATCTTAGAAGCTACTGGGCTTGTAAACCTACTGGAGAGTTTTGGGGCTCTGGCTGGCCCCCCATTGTCTAGTAAGGTCTTGGAGTTTGCCTTTTTTCTACTTTAAGCAGCAGGCACCTCCCATCCCCTGACTCCTCATTCCACAGTCATGGATCAGCCAGTGTGAAGTGGCCAGGGATGTTCTGGTGCCGCACAAGAGGGAACCGGGTTGTAGGTGATCTCTTCAGTCTGGGTACCATTTCACCCACCCTCTAACCTTTGGGGTCACCGCTGGGGCCATGATTTTGTCATTCACAGACCCCTAAATTTGTATATTCTAGGTAGTGCTAGCCCTATGCGCTGTAGGCAGCTCTAGAACCTGGCTTACTGAGTGAACTGCAATGTTACATGCTTAGGTTCTAGGTAGCTCTAACCCCATGTGCTAAACTTGACTTCACATCCCAGCTGTCTAGGTTATTTGAACACTAGAAGCCCTGGGTTCAGATAGCTCTAACCATATTGGTTAAAGACAACTCCAGTACTTGGCTTTCTGGATAGTTGGAACACTATATTCCCTAGGTTCTAGGTAGCTCTAATCCTGTGGGTCATGGGCATCTCCTGAATCCAACTTTCTAGGCAACTGGAACACTATCAGCTCTGCAGTCTAGGTAGACTTGTGTTTTCCATGGAGCCCTAAACCTATAACCTGCACATATCTCCAGCCTCAAACTCTCTTGGTGACTACTCCAGCCTATGTTTTAGAAATCACAACCTTGCTGGGTTGTGAATAGCCCATAGCCTCCACTGTTCTGGCTGACTTTACCCATGGGAGTTTAGACGCAATTCCAATCTTGCTGCATTTTAGATACCTACCATTGGCTGCATGCTGGGTTCTGGGTAGCCATCACTAGCTGAATCCTAGGCAGCGCCAACCGAATGAGCTATAGTCAACTCCAGCTTAATATGTCCTAGGTAGCACAAATGTGATGCTTTCTGGGCTCTAGGTAGGCTTAACAAGCTGTGTTCTAGATGCATCATAATCACATAAGATATAGTATATTCAGACTCAGTACGTTCTAGGTAACACAAATATTCATGCTGGGTTCTAGAATGGTGTAACATGGTGTATTCCAGATGCATCCTACCATATAAACCAGGGATTGGCAACCTTTGGCACACGGCCTGACAGGGAAAGCCCCTGGCGGGCCAAGACGGTTTGTTTACCTGCAGCTTCCACAGGTTCGGCCAATCACAACTCCCACTGGCCGTGGTTCGCCGTTCCAGGCCAATGGGGGCTGTGGGAAGCAGTGGCCAGCACATCCTTCGGACCACACCGCTTCACGCAGCCCCCATTGGCCTGGAACGGTGAACCGCAGCCAGTGGGAGCTGCGATCGGCCAAACCTGCGGACGCGGCAGGTAAACAAAGCGGCCCGGCCTGCCAGCGGATTTCCCTGATGGGCCACGTGCCAAAGGTTGCCAATCCCTGATCTAAATTATAGTCCACTCCAACTCAATACATTGTAGGTATCACAAAATTATGTATGCTGGGTTCTAGGTACCCCTACTATTGGTATAACTCGTGTTCTTTTGTGTTCTAGGTTTCCTAAGGGATGTGACCGGCAGCTACACAGGCTCTTTCATTGCATCTGGGACTTTCCTCATGGTGGGAGGCCTGGTCCTCTTTACGGTGCCAACTTTTCCTCCTGTTCCACTGCTTCTCCTCCCAGTCAGGTGACCCAGAGGATGCTGGGAATTTAACCCACCAGAATGGAGACCACCTCTGTGATGGGAGAACCTCATCTGCCTGTTGAGAATGGAAAATAGCAGTTGCTTTCCATCCAACAAGACAGAGACGACATGGGAACCGCGGGCGCTGAGCTCTGGGAACGTCCCAGGAGAACTGTCCACCCTTAAACCAGGACAATAATGTCCTAGAGAGGAGTGAGATGAAGTGACATTGGAAATGGGGGAGGAGGGTAATCACAACAGGCTAGATACTGAGCTCAGTTCTAGTGGTGTAAATCCAGAGTGGCTCCAGTCCAGTCAATGGTATAAGGACCAGACTCTGAGCTCAGCAATGCTAGCGTAAATCCAGAGTTCAGTGTAAGGGGCAGATTTGCATCTCAGTTCCATTGGTGTAAATCCAGAGTCATTCCAGTTCAGTCAATGGTGTAAATCCAGAGTCACTCCAGATCAATAAAAGCTATAAGGACCAGACTTTGATCTCAATTCCACCAGTGTAAATCCAGAGTCGCTGCAGTGCAAAAAGGGCCAGATACTGAGCTCAGCGTGAATCCCGAGCCACTCCAATTCACTCAACGGTGTAAATCCAGAGTGACTCGAGTTCAGTCACTAGTTTAAATCCAGAGTCGCTCCAGTCCCTTCTGAGAGGGTTACGCCATTTTTACACCTCAGGTCCGCTCTTCCTCCAGCTGAGTGTGTGTGGACCCTCCTGAAAAACCACAGCGTGTGCAGCCTGCCGGCAAACGACGCTCTCAGTGTTAAACGCAGGGCAGGCCCCGGGTTCACCTGCCGGCTGAGCCTGGGCCTGACCCCAGAGGCCCTTTCGAAGCGTCAGCTCCATTTCTTATCTGCACCCACCCGACTCCACCCGCCCTTATCTCCGGGCCCCAGGCCCACGGGCACGCCGGGCGCACGGGACCCTTGGACGGTAGAGACAGGCTGGCGGTTTCGGGTGCGCAGCTGAAAGAGGCTACAGAGATGTTGATCACAGGGCTAAAGTTGATCACAGGGCTGGACAAAAAATAGCTTTTTTCAAGGAAGGAGAGTCGGGGGGCGGGGAGGAGTCAGGACTCCTGGGTTCTCTCCCCGGCTCCTAGGGGAGGGGGA